GTATCTGGGAGGGTGGTATATAAGGTATGCTACAGCACTTAGGCCACAATTATGCCCATTGTGCGCCTCCATACTCCACAAGAGGAGAGGTCATCATTAGCTCGTCACCCAGCCTAGCGATTCTACGTAGGCGATGACGTCGCTGAAGGCGGTGCCTCAGATCTCTTCTAGTGATTGGTACGATTGGCCTAATCTGGCTCTGAGTATTGGCAAAAGAGCAGTGCAGTCACAGAGAATGTGCTCTATCGTCTTGTCTTCTTGATTACAAGGTGTATCGACTATAATATGGAAATTTTGATGAATGTGCTGGCAATTCATTATTTGGAAAACGCAGAGATACGAAATCGACGCAACCATCGACATAACCGCCGTGATCCAGTCGTAGAGCTAAACCAAAGGGCCTATTTCTCAATAGCGAGTCACCTCCGGGTTGGTTTTAACTCCAGGTTAAACGTGTCCAGTTGCAATGTTTACCCTGGAGCTATGCTTAACCCGGGGATGACTTGCTATTGAGAAACCGGCCCAAAGACAGTTTATTAAAGGGTGTTGCTTGTTCTACCTGCTCGAGAAATTAGGAAGATCTGCTAGGAGCTGCTATTTATGAGCTTATATGAGACAGGTGAACGCTGATCTGCTGCTGAGATCTGCTTGAAGCAGGACAAGCAGTACAAATTACAAATAAACACCCTATTAATATGTTCTGATTGTCGAAAAAGCTTGTTAGTTATTTGGTTGAATGTTTAGAACCTCATACATGTCTGGCACAACGACCAACAGATTTAGATGTCTTGACTAAAGTAGGAAATGAATTTTATTTAGAAGGTTGTTTTGCAATGTTTGTTATACAGTTAGTTTAATGCGGTACTACTCATGGGTCTTAATTACGCGTTGAAATTTTTCGCAAGCCGTAGCTATCAACCGGATTAGCTGTAGCTTGCTTTTCACATACTTCACAAGTTTCTTTTGCTTTTCACTGGCATTCGCACCCCTTTTCTTTCAGTTTTTGTCACTGGTTTTCTTCCATAATTTACCACTATCGTAAACATCCACAATTCGTCAAATATTCAAGAAGGCAAATACACGTCAAAAATTTGTCAAACATTCTAAAATTTCCGACGTTTCCAAATCAATTATACGTATGTTTACGAATTCGCAATATCTACGTTTATCCATTTACGCACACCGGTCAAAAATGGGTTTATAGATAAAGTCCGACAAATACCATTTTAAAGTCACGTGATATTGGTGGCAAAAAACGTATGTTCGTTGATTATGTCGTTGATATCACCTACAAAAAGCTACTTGTGGTTAATTACTATTGAATTTTAAGATATGTTCCCACTAGCATTTTACAAACGCGTTTCTGAAGTAGTATTGACCAATCAGATGAGAATTTTAATACTTGCAATTGTTGCGAGACTCACTTTTGTCGCTTCTGCTGCCCCTTGTAATACATTCTGAACTTGAATTGGGTACCCGTTTTCTATTTGCATCTTTTTGAGTTGGAAAAAGGTTAATATAGTCAAAATTATTAGCTGTGTTTGTTCGTTGTATCATTTTCTAAAATAACTTTGACAAACTAATTGATGACAGTGACGGATTCTATTTCAGGTACGAATTTTATGAACAATAATTAGACAGCAATTTTTTTGTCAATTTTACTATCACCGCTGTTTGAGATGTATTCAACAAGGATAGAGAAAAATCACGTGACTTTAAAATGGTATGTGTTGGACTATACGTATATAGGTTTTTTACGTTATATTTAGGATGACGTCATGGAACCAGCAGAGACAAGGTTTTCAATGCCGCTTTTTTTTTCTTAAAATTAAAGAAAATGTCATGTTTAAATTCTGTCGAACAAACGGAAAATGGAAGTGCTGTCACTGCTGTCAGCAGATATTTGTTTGTACACTGAGAAAAGAAATCCTCTGAACCAAGAGATTGACATTCAGCCAAAAGATTTTCGGATTTGAATAGGTCAAATGCGAAGTCTCTTGAACCAAATCCCTAATTCTCTTGAAAAAAATCGCGAAGTTTTTCTTATGGAAATAGCCCTTTCTCTTGGTTCAATAGCATTGAATATCTTGTGCCAAGAGCTTTCGGACTTGGCTCAAATGAAATGGTTGTTGTTTCAAGAGGGTAGTTTACTAATTTTTGGCCTGTAGTTTAACCATCCTCAGCCATTTTTTCAATATTCAGATAAGATACCATGAAATGAAAAATATAAGATAAAAATGATATTGAAAAACGAATCTATTAGACTATTACATAAATAGAAAAGTCATTGGGTAGAACCAATTCAAGAATGGTACCATTTTTTGACCCGTACGAAAGCCGCTATCACGATAGCATACCAAATTGTCTGAGTTCTGAGTGGCCAAGAGCGAAAGACTGGAAATCTGAACGTTTTCTCTGGCGCTAAAAGACAGATCGTGCATCCGCTACCGTTCTTGTGAGAAGATCTTCCAAATGACGCGGTATTTTCCCAATAGCGGCAAGGATTTTGAATCAAAAGCTTTGGATATAAATTCAAAACTTTTATCTCTTGAATGAAATGCTTAATTTCCGCAATTTTGAAACAAGAGCTTTCGATTTTGTCTGCTGTGAAATACATCCAAGAATCGTTTTTACTTTAAGAGAGCCATTTCTCTTGTCCCAATATAAATGATCTTAATTCAAATAACATTCCCTCGAAGCAACATATTTTCTCTTCTCTACAGTAGATTGTAGATTTCTAGATTTGTAGATGTACGCGATGTAGTAACTGATTCAGCCGCTCAGCACTGCTACCCTTGCAGATATTTTGTACGTGACTCTACATCTTAAGTTGTCTTCAGGAAGCGTAGACTTCTGCCGAACGAAGCTATTTTCCTGGGTGTCAGCTGGCCCACTTCTTCTGATGACAGTGTTTCCCCCTCGAGGAATTTGAGACTCTTGCAGAAATGGGCTGGACATTCGTGCTGTGCGGTCTCTATTGCGTCTGAGCAGAATCTGCAGAGATTGTCTTCTGCTCTGTCCATTAACCTTAAATGGTATTTTACCAAGCAGTCCTACCACCAATCTGATGTCTAGTCTGCTTATGTTTAGGAGCTGTTCAGCTCTTTTTGCTGAAAGGGTAATAAACCTTTTTGACTGCTTGTCTACAGTAAGTGACGTTAAAAACCAGCTCAAGAGCGTTGGGGACTTTGGGCCAAGATCCTCTGTTTTTTCAGTGTATGTTTTACTGGTCACTGGTCACTATCGCTATCATCAGAACTATAATTGCCATTAAAATCAATAATAAGTGGTGGAATATCTCCTCGATCAAATAAAACCTCTCTGTCCCACCAACGTTGTATTTCTTTTTCTGTATGTTCTACAGTTTTTGCCCATACTTCAGGAGTTGCTTGTTTTAGAGCTTCTTTCCACGTTTCTAGTGATTTTTCTGCTGAACTACCAAATTCTCCTATATGATCCCTATAATAGTTCTTGGTGAAACCCCAAATATGTTCGATAGGGTTGAAAATACAATGGTATGGAGGCAAACGAAGAACGTGATGACCATATTTTTCAGCTAGCTCGTCGGCTTTGTACACTGGCTGTGGTTTATTTCTACAAAAAAAAAACAAAATGTTTAATAATTATTTAAACTTCTTTTAAACCTACGTCACCCTACGTTTTGACTAAATTCAATAATTGCTGTTTTAAAAAAGTGCTGTCAAAGTGAATATTATTTTCTTTGAGCCACATTTGAATATCATCTTTCTTGGTTGCTGTTGTAGGGGCCTTATTCACCAAAGTGCTATGGTAACTAGCATTATCCATTATTATAGTTGAAGGTTCTTCCAAATTTATCAGCAGCTGATACTCAAACCACTGTAGAAAATTTTCTTAAATCATTTCCCCATGATAGTCAGCATCTCGAGTTTTTGAAGAAAATATCAATTCTGCACCAGGTATAAATCCTTTAGTGCAACCAGCGTGCAGAATAACATATCTAAAACAATAATTAAAAACAAATTAATTGTCAAAATTTTTGCCATAACAAAAGCTAAGAATATAGGATATAAAATTTAAAACAAAAACATAGGCAGAAATTATCAATATAGCATTTTTCACTTAGGGAAGCAGTTGCGTAGGTAAGTATATTAACAGCATTGTTCGATGGAAAACCCTATATGAAAATTTACCTTTTGCCACCAACTTTACACTCTTGGTACTTGAATCCTGCCAAGAACGAACAATAGTACCATCTTGGAAAATCCATGTTTCATCAAGAAAAACAAACTGTCGCAAACCTCCATTTTTGAGTCGAACATATTCTCTCAAAAAGTTAACTCGTTTTAGAGCAATACTTGGCAATTCCATTAGCCCACGTCGTGGATCATCTTTGCTATATTTGAAGCCAATATTTTTCACAATTTTCCATAATGATGTCAAGCAGCCACAAGCAATATCACGTTCAATTAGTTTATCTCGTAAGGTTTTCAAAGTAATATGTGTCTCTGTAATAATGTTAATAAAGATGTATTTGAACACCAACAAAATATAATTCAATTAGCTCTGTGCCATTTGCGCGAGGGAGAAAAGCGCGATACGAAAAGCGCGAGGGATAAAAGCGCGATGGAACAAAAACGCGACTGGACAAAAGCGCGAGGAACAAAAACGTGACTGAAATACAGCACGACGGTGTCTATAATTATCGGCGCGTTTCTGTTCCGTCACGCCAACCCAAACTAACCGAGTTATTATCGGTAAGTTTGGAAATGTCTGACTAAAATCGCGAACTAACCGGGTTATTATGAGTAAGTTTGGAAATCTCTGACTGAAATTACAAACTAACCGGGTTTTTATGGGTAAGTTTTATAATGTCTTGAAGTCCATTTGCATTTTTGTCCCTCGCGCTGTTATCCAGCCTTTTTATTTCAGTCGCGTTTTTGCCCATCGTGCTTTTGTCCTATCGCGTTTTTGTCCTTCGCGCAAATGGTTGTCGTTCAAATGCCACAGAGCCAATTTAGTCACTCACTATTGTTATACATTTCGTAGATAACATTTCCGATTGCAATTTGATCAAACTCATTAATATTAACAACAGTTTTTGTGCGATTACGTTTTTTTGATGGACTTTTTAGTGGTTCTCCTCTACGGCATTTCGCTGCAATGCTATTGACAGTACAACGGCTTAATTTTATTGCAACTACAACTCGCTAAAAAGACATCATTTTATTATCATATTTATCATAGAAAAATATTTTAATTTATACTTTCAAATAAATAGGTACCTATATAATGAAAATAGGTAATTTACTTACATCTCTCCCAGCAGTAAGAGGCAAAAATGGTCCTCCATTATCGCGTTCCTGCTCGAAATACGATATTAGGTTTGCTACCATTTCCTGCGACTGACTGACTCGACAAACCTTTAGGCATTTTCTGAGGTTACCTAGTTCACGCGTTACGAAAAAGTACCGAGTTCTTAGAAGAACTTTTTTAAACTGTATATTCTTGGCACTTAATTAGAATTAAGTATACAAAATAGTTAATAATAAATTGACAAAAACAGTGACAACTAAAAATAATGAAATGAATCGACAGGCATTATATGAAAAAGTTTATATTTTTTTAAAAATAAATCGTGCATCGTCGCGCGCCATTACCAAACAAAAACTTTTGAAATTCCCCTACTTTAAATGCGTTAAAAAGTACTTTCAGTTTTTTCAGGTTGGCAGCAGAAATTTACTAAATGTGACGTCATCCTAAATATAACGTAAAAAACCTATACGTTTATTTTTGTTCGCAAATCTTCAAATACGCAATTTAACGTATATTGTCAAAAATTGGCCCCGCTGTACCCGATTTTTAAACTTCCACTAATAAAGGCAGGCACTAACACTATTAGTGCCGGCGTTACGGGCGAATTCTCATGAGCGTAAGTTGACATTTCTGGCGTAATCACGTTTTATGGTTGGGTTTTATCTTAGAGCAGGTAATTTCCTAGGTGGAAGGAGTAAGAACATGGAATTGGAAAATGAAGTCGTTTTCTCCAGGTATTTTGAGATCCAAAATAATGGCGGTATAGCTAATTCAATGCTTCACCTGTCATTTGGTGTACAAACAGCTGCTAAAAATAGGCTTCACTTTTAGTTTCACAGCAGAATGGCGCGTTTCTACTCCTTATGTCCGTAGGACAGCGCTTTACCTGCTCTATGGGTTTTATTGGTAAAATATTCGCCATGTTGGATATTTTACTAATCAAATTACACCATATTATCACGTGATTACGCTAGAAATGTCAACTTACGCTCATGAGAATTCGCCCTAAGGGCGAATCCTCACGGGCGTAATTGACGTGAGCGTAACTAATCACGTGATTTAATTTGTGCGATTTCATTGGCGGCAGTGCAGCAATCTTGAATTTTTGACATTACGCTGTCGCTACGGAAAAAGTTGGCTTTTGTTGAACTTTTCGGCGTAATCGTGCCGGAGTTGTGACGTTTGTTTTTGTAACCAAGTTATTACTAGCATCCTGCAAGAATTTCTTGATTTTCTGAAAATATATTCGTACCCAAAATCTTCGTTGCATTAATTTGCATTTTTTCTTCATATTTTTGCATTTCCACATATATTTTCTAAAGTTCTTTGAGGCGCCTTAGCAAGTTGCTTTTAAAACTCGAAGAACAGACACAAACTTCTACTCCTCATCAATCTTCATTTTATTTTGTCACTATATTACTGTCCTAAGAACTAAGAACTAAGAAATGTGAAAAGTGTCAAAATACTGCCCAGCACTATTAACGCCTGGCCTTATAGAATCTCCAATATCTCTCTTTTTGTGTAACCGTCCTCGAAATGCGCTTTCGCGGCTGCCACTCAGTCCGCGAAATTCAATTTCGCGGCCGTTGCCCTTGGTGACGGCCGCGAAACTATAAATCAAAATTTGACACTTTGACAACAACAATGAGTAGATTTTATTTCTAAATTATTTAGGATAAATATTAACACTTATTATGTAACAGTTTGCATTATTACTAATATTTACTCCTGAAGCTGAAGCTGAAGCAACTAATAATCCAGTATTTCTGAATTGAACTCTCAAAACTTTCCATTTCTGCATTGAATAGGCCAGTTTCCAGACACTATTTTGACGTTTTGTTTGTCATACCAATTTTTGAATTCACAGTAACAATTTTCATATTACCGCTTAGTTTTCCAGGTATTTACTCAGAAATAGCTGATTGAACCATACTTTCAAGCTCTGGAGCAGTGCAAGAAAATAAAAAATATCTGTATCGCTGTCGGACATTTTCAAGATTTTTTGAGAACCCTCAAAATTTTTTGAGTATTTGTTTACTTGCAAAATATGTCATCCATAGAAACGCTGTGCCACCATAGCCACTAGGTAATATATCAAACTGGTAGTTAGTTCCACATGTTTTTCTGTAATTTCACATAATTTTCATGGTTGCACAAAAAATAGTGTGTATACCATGACCGCGAAACTTTTTAGCGTCCTCGGGATTATCTTGCCTCGGCCGCCAGCCGACTCGGAGATAACTTTTCTCTACGTACGCTAAAAGGCACTTCGCGGCCTTGGTATACAAATAACTATTATGAAAAAAAGGTTTAAAAACGAATTTTATGTCTAGTATAAAAGTGAAAGAAAGAGAACTAAATCCTAATTGTTTTATAATCTCCCATTTAATTAATTAATGTTTAATCTATAAAGCGAATACGGGTTATCTGGTTATCTTCCGTGAATTGTCTTCCTCGCAAGAAAATCTTCTAGACATTTTTTTTGTAGTATCTAATCTCCGGTAAACATCGATTTGTAATTTGCTAGAAAATTTCATCAAAGTTTGCATTCTCGAAAATTTCTAGTCATCGCGTAAACTTTGTTTCATGAGGGTTCATACTTTTGACAAAATTTGCCTTCCTATAGAAAAAATATAATAGAAATTGACTGAAACAAATCAATGACGTCAAAAACGTTCGTCGGTTCTTAATCCAGAAGTCATTCATTTCAATTTGTTAAAAAAGTTTAATGTGTCACATGAATTGATCTACGACAAGCCTTTTTTTTTTCAAGTTATAACTTCTTCGATGTCAAAAGTATGAACCCTTATGAAACGAACTTTACACAGGGGTTATTCAATGAGTACGAAAAATAGTTTAAGGTCTATTCTCTTGTATTTCAAGCCCTACGGAGATGAGATTTCGGGGAGTCATCCCTGATGATCCCCCTCTATGCGGTGATGCAAAATTGTGCTCAACTATCCCATCCTGTGGAAAACGTCAATTTGGTAGCGTAGCGTCGTACTCTGTCTGATTTATAACAATATGTAATGTCTGTCGATTTTAATCTGATACTCCAAAGGAATGTGAGCTGGTGGCTCCCTACATTAGAACGCCAATGGTTACCTGACATCACACCTGTTTTTGCCATATTATGAAACACCCCCTCGCTCCTCATACGGAAAGTGTCAGATTAAAAACGACGTACGGTACTTTAGGTCCATATAGCTATATATTTTTGACAACCAGCTTTTGAATAAACGTGTATTACATATTTCGATGGATAAGATAGAGGTGAATCAATTTAGTAGATAGTGTCATTGAAACTTCATCTGTAGAATGTCGCTGTTTTATTACAGCTGTTGTTATGTCAAACAGGTTTCAAAAAGTTCTCCGACTTTCGACTCCCAACCTGCACTCGTTTCTATCTGCCTATAATAAGATCCATGCCTCTGTTACGAATTTCATTATCTCTTTAGCTTTTTCTAGTTCTTCCTCGTTTCCTTATTCTATTTGTGTTCCGTGTTCCACACATTAGTTTAGTAGGTGTAGGTACTATGTGATTTCCATTCGTTGTACAGGGTGAGTCATTTTGGGTGGGAATGCCGGGTACAGCCTAAACGGTAATAGATACAAAAAACCTAATAAACGTGTCGCGATCTATTTTTCTGAGTATAGTTCAATGGACCACTCAGAATTTCTCGGACTTCTTTTGTTTTCGATATACAGGGGTTTTTTGGAAAATAGCTGATTTCTGTTTTCCTCTGTATCTTAGTTATTATCAAAAATTTTAAAAAATGTTAAATTACGTTTTTGTGTGATTTTTTACGTAGAATCCAGTGGCGTACTCAGATTTTTTTTTAGGGAAATTATTTTCTGAGATATGGTCCAAATTTTAACTTTTTTAAATGGGACACCCTATACCTATATATAGGCGGCAGCGACACGAAATTAGAAAATGTGTGGATATGATACATTTCATCCTAAAGCGTATATCGCTTACATGTCCCGCGACATGTTTCAATCCTGCGACGCTGATTCTCCCGCGGTACCGCGTTGGTGTGTAATGTCTGCCCAGCGACTCTGTGTCTACGAGGCAACGGTAAGGGGAATGCAGTTGTAAAAAAAAATGGCTGATTTCATTCATAAAATACCCAGCTGCGTGCGGAATTTTTTGGAAGTGTTATCGTATTGCAACTCCTACACGAAAATCGAAAATGACCAAACCCCCGCCACTGGATATTTCAATATAAATCGATATTCCAAGATGGGAGGATACAATGACAGAAGCCCTGGCCAATAGCAAGACGTAAGGTGACGTTTAGCCCATTGACAACGACATGGTTCCTCGTGGCAACGGCCATCCTGCCAAAAACTCCACCAATCAGGTTCATCCAGGCCGGATGCTTGCCAAATTGTCAAAAACTGATGGTATCTTTAGAAAATGTTTATTTTTTACAATGGACAAAATTGAAGAAATCAGTTATCAGAATAAGAATAGATCTAACAACCACGTTGAAATATTTAGCGTTTTATTGGTATCTATATTTTGTTATTAAAAAATGGATTTTCAAATGAACTATACCTCATGCCTAGTATTTTCGCTTTTTTATAATTAAACGTGACAACATGGCACATTTACGTCCGAATTCCTTCCGTAGACTCAGATCCGCTGGGCAAACAATAGGATCCTTTAATGAACATTTTTAGTAAAGCAGATCATATCCAGTTTTTTAATTAAATATAAATGAAGGAAATCGTTTGTGACCTAGCAGACAGAATGACTAATGTTAAAGTTAACTAAAAGGTTGGACTCGACTAGGATTCAAACCTTAGACTTCTAGATTCAGTAATCACCGAAGGTTTCCGATTGTTTAACTAACACCTTAAACGAAACACTTGACTGGGTAAAAAT